CTTTACACTTGACACTCTCTGCTTCATATCTATGCATTGCCAGCTTATTCATAACAGTAAATCCCAGCCTTGTATTATTGTTTATTATTAATGCATCGTTTGTTTATTTCTTGTTTTTGTAACTGTCCTTTATTGTTGTTTACTGATTCAGCTCTTGGGAGTGAGTCAAGTTGATTTTAGTTGTATGTAGAGTTGTGTAATGACGGTAATGAATTCTGACCATAAAGGTACTGGAAGTTTGCTGAGGATTTAAATGAACTGTCTACCTAGCGGGCAGTAATAATGATACCGCATGACCAAATCCTGCCGCTCATCAGGGGGCGCATACATATCTGTGATGTCAAGAAACGTGTTTCTTCCAGAGAGCAGGGGGCATTGTGGGTAAGGATGTAAAGCGTTTGGCCAGATAGAGCTGATCGTAAATGACAGGATCCGCTGCTCTACCGCTGACCCAAATGTCACCCTGTGCTTAGAAACGTTGTACTCAAGCGCATGCTAGTGGCCTTGGGAGAAAGCTCATCGGGTATTATTATATGGCTGTAACACGGGGGGCCTTATGCACCTCCAGACAGTTGCCAGTGCAGCGTCACCACGCAAGTTCATCGGCTTCTTCTGTCTCTCATGTGGAGTTCCGCTTAAAGTAAACATTTATTCTGCCCGGTATTGATTCTCCTCCGGCAGGCAAAGGTTTTTATTACTGCACAAACGGATGGTAATTAGCGGGGGTTGGTGATGCCTTCATGTCGCAAACACGCTCTTCTTTATTTTTCGCTTTACAGCGGGTGTTCCGTGCAAAGGTGAGAAACAGTACGATCGTACGAGCAGTAAAATAACCTTGGTCCCTGTATCGGAATTTCACCTCATTGAAATGGCTGTACGACATTCGCTTGCTTGCCTGGACTCTAAACTGGCTTGACCTTAATACTTAATACTTGTCCCGGTAACACCCTGCTCTTCTCAGTCAATCGGCGCCCAGGGCAGCTGGAAAAAAAGCCTGGACATCTCGTTAATTCCTCCGATTTTCTCTGGAAGTGGGGAAAACTCGTTGCCTACTTAATCGGGATGGACTTGTGTCCCAAGCGTCCCAAAGGCAGCTGTCCCTCGGAAGCCTATTCCCAAATACAAGCCAGGTATAGCAAGTTCTGTGAGTTTGGCCACACAGACACTCGTATACTCTTCTGATTTTAAAGCGAGGGTCTGTAAAAGATCCTCGCGTTGTGTATGAAATGAAAATTTATATTGACTGTTGTGACGTTTCTGTGGCGCTAAGTATGAATACGTGTTAGCAAATGTGGGAATCTGTGCAAATGCAGCCCTCCAATGAATAATGTGGACCGTGTGAAATCGCCACCCACCTGGTCCCTTTAAAGGGTTCGTTTTGACAAACACACCTCAACATCCTCATGCCTGAGTATGTAAGCCCACTTCCGTGGTCTCCGTCAGGGATACCGGTAATGTCCAATCATCACGGGTATCTCAATTTCCACTGTTCTATTTTAGGGCGTGATTGATAACCATAATAACGTACATCTTGGCTCTAATTCGCCTGATATCCGGCGCTAATTCTGTTTTCCCACTTTAAGGGATATCATAACTCGGCCAGACGCCGCAGTGACGTCCGAGTAAGCGAGGGACCGACGTCAGTTACCACCGGGAGAGACTACCGGACCATCACCCCCCACCACCCTGCTGGCTCGGGATGCTAATCCGATCCTGGGCAGCAGCACATGCAGCTTTACACAGCGCCGACCGTCATCCAATATGATGCAAGCCCATGTTTCCTAAAAAGTTACACTCGGTTTCCGAATTATCCAACGTTACTGCTGTCTTACATTGGCTATGTATTTGTTCAATATATGCTAAGTGGCTTACGTGGAACATGTGGGGTTTCAAAGGAAAGTCATTGCGACGATTATTTCATTTAGTTGTTATGGTCCGTTCGCCAGAACTGTTCATAAATTACGGTCCTGTATATTGCGCCCGTTAAGTCTTGTAAAGAACGACATGCTTGTTTCTGATATTGAGTGTAGCAATAGTTTGCATCATTGCTGATTCGCCGTGACTTTCAGTTGGTTACCCCCCAAGACCCCCGCCATTTAACCATGCGTTTTCTGCACCGGTGGCCGTTTCTTTCCGGTTGGCATTCTTTCCATGCCATACATTCCCTACATTTTGGGGGTGGACTAATGCCCCCCCTCCCCCGTTGTCCCGGAATGTGACCCAAATCTGGCGTATCTTGGGAAGCCCATCGCCCGGGAATCTGTATCAGAGAGATCAATATATTCCACTGGGAGATTCAATCATTTCTCACAAGTAACGTGAAGGAATCTGCTGTATCGATAGAGGTGTGACTATCAACATATTTGTGCATTGGTATTCCCTGCAATGTGTCTATATACCATGTAAAAGATTTGTAAACTATGTTGCATGTTATTTGGTCTGGAAAGCAATAACAGATGTGTGCAGGACAATCACATGCAGCATAGTACTCAACGAATTAACTAGTCGAGCACGTTTGAGAGTCCTTCACTGTGTTGTACAGTTACTCGCTTTATTTTCGGGGAAAAAACTGAATTATGTCTCTGTGTACGATGGGGTTAGTTTCATTGTTACTGTAGAACATGATGAGTATTCCTAGGTAGTTGCCATATTGTTACATCATGTATATTTTTTAGTATTCAACTTTTCCAGGGCGTGTAGATAAGTAATTTACTATAACACAGGGTAATACCAGACGCATCCTCATGTTTACAGTATATTGTTGAACTGGAACTGGAGCAATTGAATCCTTTGCACTGACTACAGCAATACGAGCAGCCAGCTTTTGATTTTTTGCGGTGATAAGACGTAAATAGCCCCGCTGAGAGTCAGAAGACTGACCCACGCTCGTCTAAATCGACCATGACGTGCGCGGTTGAGATCTTTGTTTCTTAATAGTTTGGTCATAGTCGGTAGTTTCCGCGTCTTGCCCCATATACCTACTGCAAAAGAGCGAAGAAATCGGTGCCCCCCCCTCCCCATTTTTTTGAAATTTCGTATTTTTCAACTCTTTCCGCATATCAAATACACCATCAAATGCGCGAAAAGAAACAGGTCCTGGGAGATTCGGAGAAACTAACCAAATGTGATGGATGCTGAAAAACATCATAGTAAAGCGATTTGTATTTCAAGGAAACGATCGGACTGACAGCTGGTAACTCGTTAACGAATAATTCGCTCTTAATAAAATATACATATTTACTCGATCCATTAAAATAAACTGTTGACCATCAACACACTACTGTCACACACTCGTAGTGTAACATCAATTATAAACGTGTGCTTTTGTTGGCCTATTCTTATACTGAAATGGGACTAAAAATGTAAGTTCGCCTCCCGTATTAGCACCCCCACATACACAGATACGGACAGAGGTCGTTTGCACTCTGCCACACAAACAGCCTAATACAGTTTGTGTCAGATTTTATGACATGTTCGTAAGGATATTAAGCTGTTGCCTTAATATCCGTTACAATCCAAGTTTAATGTGAATCTTATATTTAATTCTGCTCAGCCTCTAGTCCAAGGCAGACTCGTTGAATGTGCAATTTTGGCAAAGACATGCGAAGCAAACAGTCTTACTATATGTAATTAGCGAGTGCTGGTATTTAATCTTAAAATAGGAACCATACAAGATTGGATTGCAGTTAATACGACGTTCATTATTTTCAATATGTCAAAGTCTGGGCTCTTTGCCTGCACCGGTAGTTGGAGTAAACATCAAACGCCACATGAATTAACCTAAATTTTTCATCCCTTCGGTATAGCTCTGCGTCTCCAGTACGTTGCACGACCCTGGTTGCCTTTTTCATTCTAGGTTTCCCATCATCAGACATTTTAATGCAATCTTTGTCATTATATAATGTTTTTCCTTGTGGATTTTTCTGCAACTTGAAGACGGAAATTGTGAGCGGCTGTCCACAAAGGAGTTAATCGACATATTTGGTTTTGCCTTTGTTTTTGTTAGTTTTTTGACGTGTTTAGTTGAGTCGTGCGATGACGGGGTCGCGCAGGTAGCACTAGCGCTTATAAGTAACTGCAGACACCGTGGAGCAGCGCGGTGCTCCGGCTCCGATATCGCTGCGCTCGCCGCCGGCCGGGACTGAGGAAGTCAGTCCGGCTGCAGTCAGCCCGGCTGTTGAAATGGTGGAGATTCTTCACTTCTGCAGTTCTTTCCAGATAATCTCCCCGTACTACTGGCGACATCTATCTGTTCCTCCGGCAGTAGATGCGGACAGGAATTAATTTCTAAAGCTCCGGAAAACTTCAAAGAAAATATAATCTCTTCCCTCTCCTCGCTGTAAGATTAGGCTCCACTCGAAATATGACTTCATGCAAATTACGCGTCTAACTAAAAACGTATTAAAACACAAACTCCAAAATGAATAATACAACGAAATGCACCCCCATGTAACTATTATATTTCAAAAATCTCTCTCGTATTATGCACATACAGAGATATTTTGGAGCTGACACAACCGACCGATGGCAATAAACTGTAATGGTATGGAAATACGCGCATATATGTTTTTCCGTTACACTCATTTGGCTACAGCGAGGTTATGAGACCCCTTGTCCTAGTAGTGGAATTATGAGGTGGGGAGGGGCTGAGAAGGGAGGGAATCCCTCCAGTCTTTGACGTCCCCTTACCAAGGAAACCCGCACGCGTTCTGTCTGACGCAACTGCCCATTTTTGGAAAAATGCGTCAATGGACAAGACCAACTAATACAAAGGCTTTATCAAGAGGGGTACTGTATTGTAGTTTAAATGTAATCACACATTTTACGACATTAATGCTTCAAGTACTACATTATACACACGTTATATATGTTTTTTATACAGACAATAATAATAAAATATATTTTCATTAAACACAAATGCAGATTTTATTTGTAAAAAAAATATATAACCCCCCTGTTTCGAAATGACTGTGCTGACGTGACGACGTACAGGGTTTGATAAGCGGAGTTGCTCCAAAGTCGTGCCATTGAAGTGAGTCATACAAGTAAATGGTCGGCAAAATTTTAGAAGAAACAAGGCAGAGCTGTTCCAGAGGGACAGAGGCAAGCTGAATAAAGTGTGTCGCAAAAGTGCGTCTTTAATTCAGAGTAGAGCGTAAGCCGTTGTGAGTCACTCGTATATCGACTGCAGTGCTGTTCAAGGCAAACTCGGGATTTTACTGCGGAAAGTAGGTGACTCGGTGACTTTAGTTTTGATTTTCAAGTTCGCACTAATTACACCACTAAGCGCTTTCAATAACACGAAAATAAGAGACAAGTCCAGACGGATATTCTCGTGTTTTTTTTCCTTGCAGTTTGTTAGCTAAGATTTTTATGGACACACGGAGCAAAGTCTTTAACATTTATTGCGATTCTTTCATTGTTTTTCACAATAGGGTCGTCTTATTTATTTCATTTTGAAGAATCAGGATTTAATATATATTTTTACAATATATATTTTTGACTTTTGAGTTTATTGATTATTGCTCTGAAACGTAAAGGGATTTCCACTGTCAGTTTTCTTTGGAAGGGCTGATCTTTAAGACGAAGAGACTCTTGAGTGCATCGCGGCTCTCATCGTCAACTGAAATCTCCCTTTTTCTTGGATCATGTACCAGGACTACTCCGGGAACTACGACACGTCCTCTCGCGGCAGCAGTGCATCCCCCGCCCAACCAGAGTCCTTTACAAGCGGCAGCAGCACAATCGGCAGTCCGATCTCAACTTCAAATTACCAGGTAGACTGAAGGGTATCTTCGTTGGTCAGAATTACCTGCCTTAGGCTTCTTAGCTCCCCTCCTATACCTGTAAACATGCGCAAGCAAAAAGCGCTGTGACTTTTTGCTTAGTTTTGTGCTGTTTCCCTCTACTCACAGTATACTGTATCTGTATGATTAGTTCAAGCTATCTTTTATGCAAATGCAGTTTCAAAAATTAGTCGTGTCGTAGTTTTGCGGAGCTCGTAGTCTGTAAGGCAATTAATAAGTGTACAATTCAATACCGCGAGTCAATAAAATTTGGAAATACGTTCAAACACCTCCAGCAACGTGGTATTTGCCATTTGATTCCTTTGGTTTGTATCTATCATGTATTTTTTTACACGAGGACATTGCTGCAAAACAACCCGCGGACTAAGGGTATATTGAACAGTACAGTGCAGTGCAGTGAAGTCGAAGTTAGGAATTAGAGATTTGGTTTAATGACAATGAAGGATGGAAAAACTAAGACAAATACTATTTCAAAAAGTTCTTCGACGTAAAATGTGGAGAGCCTCGAGTGGTTAATGCTATATTACTGTATATGCACAATAATAAAATGACAATATGCGTAGCCTGCTTGTAGTCGCAACCTGTGCCAGAAGTTTTCCGAGCTGGATCCGCGGGAAGAACGTCTGCCTGCGTTTTACCCCGCAGCACGCAATCTTATTTTATCGATCCCATATGTACGTGAAAGCAACAATTGCGCCCTAAACTGGCATTACTGTGAGGTTTTAAATCTGCATAGATTAAATGTTTTTGCCCGAGAGTCCCGATTGATTGTGTGCGCGTGGAATAACCACGTGCGCGATTTAATTTCTACGAATTATAATCACTGCACCTCTCGCAGTTTAGTGCCCTATATAATAAATAAGGCATCACCACTTTTTTCTTTGCGGACAAGTTTAACTGCATGATACCGCCTTTGTCTTTGGTTTCGGAGGATCTACAGGTACAACATCGTGCGGGTGCTATGACAATACGGTCAGCTCTTCTGTTTTCCCCAGGTTTTAATGTAAAGGTCTGTATTTTCCTTTGAACTTCCCTACGCGATCAAAACCCAAAAAAGACCGCCGGCCAGTCACGTATAGGTTACCCTTAACACTGTTGACAACCACTTTTGTAGTCTGTGGTCAGAGTACTATAAAACCAAAATGCTTCATTATAATAACGTTTTCTGTTCCTGTTTAGTTTGAAACAAAGAATGCCACTAATGGTGTGAAGTTAAACAAAACCTGATTTTTGGGGATTTTCCTTCAACCAAAGAGGGTTGATAAAGCCAAAGTCTATTTCTTGTTTTGCGATCCATGGTGTTGAAGTATAGGACCGAGTCAAAATTTGTTCACAACATAAACTTCTGGTCCCGAAAGTGAGTCGGAGGTCAAAAGAGACCCCTAGTGGTAGAGACGGTGATTACTACCAGCGGCGCCCACCGTCTGCTCTTTGAAGGAGAGGAATCTAGGGATCTTCCACAGGAAAATATCTAGTTACCCGACTTCGTAAGAAAACGAAGCTGGCAGGACTCGTTGGTAATACAGGCGCGCTACCTTTGGCCGTAGAACATACTTTACTACTGGTCAGGGTGCAGCCTATGCCTGAGAGGCGAGCCATCACGCAGACTGCGGTGGGGCCGGGGGGCAGTGATCCAATGGAGCAGCCGAATGTTGAGGGGTCTCGATGGGTTTACTTCTAGGGTACTTTCTTTGAGGAGACAGGTTTGAAAGTGCTTTAAAAGCCATCCCTCAAAAATGTTCTCTTTATACAAAATAAATCACAATTCAAAAACTATCATCATTAAGAAATGAAAACGCGCCACATATGAAATCTGTGGTCATATTTAACCCATAACGACAGTACAGGTCAAGTACCTCAATCACTGGTACCTTAGCAAGAGACATTAGCCGAGAGCCCGTTGGCTCCAGCGCCCCGTCCTTCCTCTGCGTCTGCTTTACTTGACTGCAGACATACCAAACCAGGGGACGCGCTACAAATGAGAGGGCTTCTGTTCGCTGTTATATAATCAGCAGGTTGTTCCTATGGACGTTGGTATTTTAATCTCATCTCGCCTCTGAAATGTGGCCCCCGCGAAACAGAGGAACACTTGCCAAAACAGAAGAATCTGTCTGCCTTGCAAGAAACTGGGAAGAGCTGCCGGCTGAGCTCATGTTCTCAATAAACCAACAATACCCATAACACCCTAATAAGAAAAACTGGACCGGTGACGGGAGAGAACCGCGACGAAAAACGTGACTCAACAGGATGATTACAAACCTCATTTATTCCCGGGGAGAGGGGTAATTCCCTTCTAAATCGCATTCTTTGAAATGATAGGTCATTTGCTTCATGTTCCCTCTACAAGTAGTATGTATATCTGTATCATCTGTAGTTTTAGTTTTGGAAAATCTCTGCCTGCCATTTTACTACTTCACTACTTAAACCCCCCCAAAGGCTTTCTTGTTTATTGCAGGCTGCGAAGCAGACTGTTAAAGATGAAATATATTCCTGTTCAATTCCCAAAAGTTTTGTGGTCTGCCCGATCCAGAAAGCTATTTATTTTTAGCTCCTGCTTGGAAAACAAATACGTAGATACGGACTTGAACGAAATCATTAACACGGCTAAATCAGTGTATTTCATAAAACGTAGTTTTAACTAAGCTGTAAATCCGTGGCAGTCGCTCGAATTATTTCATAACCATTTCAGTTATCGCTTGTTCTTCGTCAGGTGTTTAGGTGGAACATTGTTCTTCAAAGTTTGCATCATGTGTTAGTCATATTTGTATTGGAGGGGAGACCATAGGTTCTGCTGGGAAATCTGGACGCGTTCCCAGTGCGGGGTTAATGGCAGGAAGCGGCGCATAGCGGCCGCTCGGACCCATTCGGCTTTGCCCAGCTCCTTCACCTGTTTTTTTTTTTTTTTGCTTATTCGTGAAATGTCACCATCGTTGTCTCCTTTTCTTCTGAGAACAAACGCCATGTGTCTGGGGCTCGTCACAAAGCGCTGGCGTAACACTGCCTTGCACAACCTCGGCTGTAATTAGAGCCGCGGCAATAACACGGAGAGGAGGGGCGCCTTTGCAACTTCTTGACTAGGGACGGATTTGTATATAAGACAACCCAAAGTCCACGAATGCGGAAAAGACTCGTCTTCCTCATGGTATATAAACAGCCTGTATTTTGTTGTTGTTGTTGTTGTTGTTGTTGTTGTGTAGCGACCCCGCATCTGATCTTTCTTTTCCCATTTCCTGCCTATCGTGCGTATTAATTTGCTTAACATGGATATAATTCAGAGAAAAGGCAGATCTGTTGCCGTCCTCGGAATTTCTGCTCCTCTTGGACGGAGTCCCGCAGTTTGCCGTAAGAGGCGTTACATCCCTCCATTTAGCCTCAGCTCCCGTGTGAATGAGGCGGACCCCGCAGCCTGGAATGTCCTGGCCGAAGACCCTGCATTTCCCCAGCGCCTAAATATATTATCCCCTCCCGCATTACTGGAAGTGATTGTGTACTTACCGATTACACAGTTAAACGTGACTCAGCCCGTGCTTTCCTAACGAATGTATCCTAAAATGGTCTATTTAAAGGCCATAATGTGGAAAAAGCCACAGAATGAGATTAAGCAAAATTAGTGTGACATAGGCTAACCTCGTCCAAATATGGCATATTAAATATGTTATATCTCGCGCTGATAATCACAAGAAAAATAATAATCTTTGACATTCGTGTTAGCCCTCGTTTTTTTTATGCGGAGAAGAGTCTGTGCAGCGGATACCAGACCATAACCACCGCAGGGCAGCCGCTTATATCACCATCGGGTCACCGGGTCCGCATCTGGCCGCCGGCGCTCCGTCTCACGCTCCGCTTTCCCATGAAATCTAAATGTTATTCATATGGTTGTATTAAAGTTTGATTATTTTTTTTTACTATGTGTGCGTGAGAGATCCATATGTATGCCATCAGAAAATAAAGTTTTGCTCAGAGTATGTCTAATCCATGGCATTAACGAATTACATGGCCTTGCGCGCGGACACGCTTCCGCATAGCCCGTTTTCAGGAAGCCGTTTTTCCAAAGATGGAAGCACTAACAACTACTCCTGGGGTGACTCTGTTTTAATCTGTGTCAGCAGGGTCTCATGGCGTCAAATGTAAAACCTGGCCGATGTGAACTAAGCATGCTCCTTTGTCCCCCCCCCCACCACCCCACAGAAGTTCAGGATCGACATGCCAGGCTCCGGCAGTGCCTTCATCCCCACCATCAACGCCATCACCACCAGCCAGGACCTGCAGTGGATGGTCCAGCCCACGGTCATCACCTCCATGTCGAACCCTTACTCTCGCTCGCACCCCTACGGCCTTCCTGTGTCTGGGGGGCCTGGGCTCCTGGGCCACACGGCGCTGCCCCGTCCGGGGGTCATCCGCTCCATCGGGGATGCCCGTGGGCGCCGCAAGCGGGACGAGCAGGTGAGCTGATGGCTCCACTAGGTGGCGCTGCTACCACATTTAGCCACTGCTAAGCAAACCCACTCCGAAGGGAAGCCCAGAACTGGGGCCATGAAGCAGAATTTTTCACATAGCCAGAGAGCTTGTCAGATTTAAGGTAGTCTGGGCTAAATAAAAGTGAATGAAGAAAAAGGCCATTTAAGAAATCTGGCTTCGTGGTACAGGCTCCTGGCAGGGTACAGTCCCCGCCCAACCGGGTTAAAATAGAAACATACATGCCGGTCACTCTAAACAGGGGCCCCCAAAGTTTAGTGCAGCGTCTGGTTCCTAATGACGATGACATCATCACGGCTCCTGCCCCAGTATGGCAGCCATGCTTGCAGGCCGGACGTGATTCGCCTTGCTTGTGCTTGGGCGGCTGCCCCTTCTGAACTGGGCTGTGTGGCGTCGGCTGTGTGTTTCCGAGCGACTGCCAGTGTGTAGACGCCACGGCCAGATTTAGACGTTGAGTATGCGCTTGATTTACGGGCTGCCGTGCAGCAGCCCATCGAAACACCAGCCGGCCTCCTCACTCATGCTAGCCACCATCCGATGCGCTCGCTGGAGGTCATGCAGATGGATGATGTGCATTTTTGTGACTGTGTACGTGTGTGTAGGGGGGACTGTGCCATTTACCGTGCCCCCCTCCCTGCCTTCAGCTCACCCCAGAAGAGGAGGAGAAGCGGAGAGTGAGACGAGAGAGGAACAAGCTGGCTGCCGCCAAGTGCCGCAACCGTCGGAGGGAGCTCACTGAGATGCTGCAGGGGGTAAGTCTCCCACACAGCGCCCCCTGCTGGCACGGCCCTCACGTGACACCTGGAGCTGGTGGTCCTGCTGCGGCATTTGGGTTAAAAACACAGCCTTTGTTTCCAAGGTGCCACGGGACGGTATTTCCTGGGGAGGGGCTGTGAAATGCGGCCCCCACCGCCCCAGACATGTTTTAATTGGACCACAAAGTCGATTAAGATAGGAAGTTTTTTATATGGGTCCAACTTAACCCCAAGAGTGTGTGTGCAAGAAGGGGAAAAACATTCCGTCCTCAGAGCTGCACTGTGCCCAGACAGGGAGGGTGGGGCGAATTTGGAGGGGGAGTTTCGTTTAGTCCCTACCGTCCCCCCGCCCCCCCCCCCCAGGAAAGCAGACAGCTAGTCTTGAATTAAACTAATTAGTTCTTTTACTATAAGAATCAGTCTGTCAGTCAGACCTGTGGAAGGAATTCGATGTCAGGTTTTGTGGTGGCAAGCAGGTGACATTATGTGAGTGGAAAGCGCAGTGCACCTGCGCACACGCCCCAAGCCTCTGCCCACACATGCCAGTAACCCCACTGCGGAGGAACGCGTCCCAGCCCAGCCCAGAGACACAGCCTCTTCCTTTTGTCTTTCGGGGTGGATTTTTTTGCCCTCTTTCACCGCATTTCTCCTTCCTCGTTCCTGCGCGCTCATGTCACTGGGCCGAGCCCTCTGTCTCCCTGCATTAATGTTCCTGACCCGTTATGGGTCATTTGCCTTTCTTTTCTTTAAGGGGGGGGGGGGGTCACAACTAGGTCACACCTTTGATTTTGCGGCACAGAGGCATCCCTTATTGCACAGCCGCTTTTCCCCATGCGGTTAGACACGCTGAAACTCAGTCGAGGAGTAAATCAAGAGCGAAATCTGATTTGCCTCGTGAACCTGTAGCTTTCAGCTGTCACAAAACCCAAAAGTACTTCTGCGGTGAAGTGAAGGTGGTTAGCAAGTACAATATGTTCGACTTTTTTTCCTTTTCTTTTCTTTTTTTATTAAAAAAGCATGCTGCGCCACCATGTGGTAATTTTAGGTAGTGCAGCCAAAATAGTTAAACGGTATTACCTCAACCACAGAGCCCTTTAAAACCACTGCACATGTTTCATTCTTGTCCATGTCCAGGAGACGGAGAAGCTGGAGGAGGAGAAGGCTGGCCTGCAGAAGGAGATTGAGACCTTGCAGAAGGAGAAGGACAAGCTGGAGTTCATGCTGGTAGCCCACAACCCGGTGTGCAAGCTGCCGCCTGAAGAGAGGCACCAGCCCTGCTCCACCATGTCCCCGAACCTGCGCGGCTCCCGCAACCCGCTACACCTCCTCAACCCCGTGGTGGTGAAGCAGGAGCCCATGGAAGATCATGAGGACAAGCCCCAGCGGTCTGTTATCAAGCCTATCTGCCTGGGGGGGGGCATCGGCATCTACTGCCCTGAGGGGGACAGCCTGAACACCCCCGTGGTGGCCGCCTCCACGCCCGCCGCCACACCCAGCACGGCCAACCTCATCTTCACCTACCCCAATATGCTGGAGTCCGAGAGCCCCTCGCCGTCCTCTGAGTCCTGCTCCAAGGCCCACCGCCGCAGCAGCAGCAGCGGGGACCAGTCGTCAGACTCCCTCAACTCCCCTACCCTGCTGGCCCTCTGAGCGGCGTCGCCAGCCTGCAGGGCGGCGACACAGAGCTGGAAGGAGAGATCGGGACTGGACAGACAATGACTTCTAGTGATGGGTGGTTGTCCAAGGCACATGCCCGCCGTCTACCGCGACCCACAGAACCCCTCAAGGGCTAAGGCGTTCTCCAGAACTTTGGGGTGACCTCTGTGTGCATCCACATCATAGTCTCGCTTCACCCCAATTCCCATGTGGGGTCTGCCTCAATCCTCCCCCCCACCCCCCCGCAGATGTACCGTGTACTTATTTTCGACCCGTTACTTGTGTAACGTGAATCAAAGGAGGTGCAGAGGAGGAAAACCAAAGGCATTCGCAGGAAGAAGGTGAATCCCGACTGGTGCACCCCCTCCTCCCATGCATACCATCCCTGGATTTTTTGGCAGTTGGTGTGTTTTCCAGTCAGGATGTGAAGGCCACAGATCTACTTCCTTGGGGTCCAGACTGACCCAGGCGACGCACTACGACAGCGAAAGCTTGCAGACCTCGACCCCCTGGACGTTGGCTGTCATCATCGTGGTCCTGATGAATCCTTCGTTGTATTTATAATGGGAGTCAGTTGTTTTTGTGTTTTGCTGTTTTTTTTTTCTCTCTCTTGTTCTTCTTGACTCTGGTCTTGCTTGTTCGAGATAAGCCATAGGTTCACTGGCTGAGCCTGCGTTTCGTCACATGGTAAAGGAGCACAGCCACCGGATTGGTGCAGAGCGACGGTGGACAAACCCGCACGCCCGCCTCGCCCCATCGGCGCCAGCTCATCCGTGCTACTTAAATTATCGTCAGGGATTTTTTCCTTAAGTGGAAACTGTTTTTATTAAGCCCCCCCACCCTTATGGTGGCAAGACGACACATTAACAAAGTCCTTTCGAATGGAGAGGTTGGGGAAGGTGGACAATGATGGCAAAACTGCGGTCGGTGAGGAATTATGGGCAGAACTTTGGCTTGAATCTAAGCCCTGTGCGTGCCTGCTGTCGGTTCCACAGCGTCTCAGTCTGGTAGAGACCTGTTGTACTATGTTCCTAACAAACCGCTCTCTTCAGAACAGTGTTTCCTCTAGTCTGTTAAACTTTTTAAGGTGGTGGGGGTGGGCAGGGTGTTTTGGATAAGAAAACGATGATGTAATTTTTATGTCTGCCGTAAGATGTATGTTGTTAAAATATGGTCCCCTGGTGGTGATTTGTCTGCCAGGAAAAATTGTCATGTGCACTTTTTATTTTTATTTCAATTTTTTTTTTTTTTTGGCATTTTTTTAAAAGGTTGGTTTGGGGATAAAATATGTGACTCCTACTGCAGCTGGACTGAGAGGAAATAAGTAAAATAACCTAAGCAACAGGTTAGGTGGCTAAACCCAGGTTCTGAAGAGATGCACTAGTGAGCGCTAGGTGGCTAATCCCAGTCCCTGAGGAGGGGTACCCCTAAGCGCTAGGTGGCTAATCCCAGTCCCTGAGGAGGGGTACCCCTAAGCGCTAGGTGGCTAACCCTGGGTCCTGAGGAGGGGTGCCCCTAAGCGCTAGGTGGCTAACCCTGGGTCCTGAGGAGGGGTGCCCCTAAGCGCTAGGTGGCTAACCCTGGGTCCTGAGGAGTAGTGCCCCTAAGCGCTAGGTGGCTAATCCCTCAGTGCACTAGAAATCTCTAGCACTAGAAGAGGTACCTCTGAGGACTGGGTATTCAATCCTGGGCTCTGAGGAGATACACTTGTGATCTCAATGTGTTTGTGTTCTAATATGTACTATAGAATCTTGGTTTGTGGTTTTAAGGCTTTGAAGTGGGTGATTGGGTGTTTTATTTTTTGTTATTTTCCATCTGGATGGGAGTTAAGATGTCTTTGGGGCAGGGGGGTGGGGGGGGGGGGGGGGGGGGTGGCGAAATGAACACCAAGCACTGGAAAAGGATTCAACTGCAATATTCAGAGAAATGATTTACTTAAAACATTCCTTGCAACAGAAGATGGACTGAACTCTGTGTGGAAACTGAAGGGAAGGTGAGACGCTTGCTGCTGTTGACTTGTGAAGGATTATTTGTCGGTTTGGGGGAATTCTGACCCCAGGGACTGTTGCAGCAAGAGCCTGAATACGGTGACGGATAGCTTATATTTCTGAGGAATATACACGTCCCCCCCTCCCCCAGCACAGACGAGAGTTGCAATCAAAAAAAACCAAAAACGTCATCGGAGGGAAGGAGGCGTGTAGATCCTTTTTTTTTCTTTAATTCTGCAGAAACACGTAGGTAAGCCATCTGCGATTCTCAATCCATGTCTGCGGTTTGACTTTGGTTTCCTCTTTTCCCAAATGCTTTATCTATTTAAAAACACAAAACCAACAAAAATAGCAATATCTATGGCAGTGTTTGTTCATTTAGTAATTTAAATCAATAAACTAAGTTTTTTTTTTTTTTTTTTAAAACCTTTTGGTGTTTTGGATAACTGTACCTTGCTTGTGTTGTGGTAACGTGATGGAGTGTCGGTGAACATTGCGGCCTTTCTGCAGTGTCAGTGGACTCTTCCTCTTTGTGAATGCACTGTGTCCACTCCCAAAAGCGTCCCCTCCATACCATCTCAATAATCTCTTTTGTACTCACGGCAAGGCACCTTCCAGGTCTAATGTTCCTATTGTCCCCAGCAGAGGGAGCTATATTTTGTTTCGTCTTATAAATTGCGATACACTGATATGACGCTTTAAAATAAAAATAATATTTTTATCATGTATCTGAAATTCAGCTCTGATTAATTTCTGGTATTTTCCCTCGTTTCCTATATCTCGTGAATAGATTGTATGTGTCTCCTCGATTTCCAAAGGTTACCTGCAAAGCGCTAGGTGGAGTAATTGCGTGATAACGAGAGGAGGTGCCACCCCATCAGCACTCCATTCGTCCTTTCATTCTTGGCTGTAGTCTTTCCAGACTGTTCCGTTAGTCGCAATCAGAATCCAGACCTGCCCTGAATCTGGCTCCATCTGCCTCTTCCCATTCCCTCCCCCATCTGCACACAGAAAGGCCCCGAGCTGGGGCCCCGTACATCCAGCGCCCCCTTCACATCTGGAAGCCCCCTGACACTGCAGGGTCATACCATCGGGTACAACTTTTCTCTGACTTTCCAAGTTGTCGTGTGTTGCTGATATTGTTTGACCCATTGAATTGTTCCCCTTCAAAAATGTTCCGTACTTCTGTAAATGCCATTTTTGTCTGTTATAAAAGAACTTAATTTTGCTTTTTTAAATAAATGATCAAAAACAAGATCACGTATGTCATGTTTTTATGGGGTCTGAGGTTGAGGTAAAAGAAAAACTAAAAAATAAATAAAACAATATGTTCATAGTTCCATTCGGTTAAACATGTTGGTTGACCAGAAAAATTTAAATGCGTAGCTAACATGAATGCCTCAGTTGAAATTTCACGAGCCACCAGCAGATGGCAGCAGTGATTTAGTTTGACAGGGCGTACAGGTCTTGACTATCTTCGACGCAACCTTTTCCAAATTCTCGCCAATAATCTGCGTTTTCACTCGACCTCGTTAATTTCGGACTTTAGTAGATGAGTCTGTTAAACTGAACAGCTTATTAAAGTCACAAATTAAGATACATAAAAAAACTTCGCGTAAATACGACCGACGCAGATCTATTCGTGGCATAATGCTGCCCTCTATCGGTCTCATTAATTGAAATTGTTAAGGCGCCGGAAGAAATACTATATTTGACCTCGTTGCTTTGCCACAACTCTAAAGCATGGTAATGAAAAGCCGAAAATCACGAGGTAGGGAAAACCCTGGACATCATGCTAATCTGTCCCATGCAAGCTTCACACACACAACCAGTACTTGGAATTCAAACCCACACCCTTAATGGTGCAAGGCCAAGGGGGCAAACACTGTTCCAAAATTACCTTCTTAAATGTGATATTGAGATATTGAAATGACCTCAATTCTCCTATCAAGGAACTACACTTTCCATGTTAGTTTCATTTGCAGCTGTGTGATTGGTCAGGGGATAGGGTGTTGTCTTTGCACTAAAAAACCAAAAGGGCTAAAGTCTAAAGTGCAGACATGCCTGGGAGTAGTGCCTGTAGTCTGTCATTGGCCAGCTCCACCTGCCAATCAGCACAGATTATCCAACTACTGACAGTTAGCCTGTGTGAAATCAGTTGGCCTCATGCACATTTACTGGCATGGTGCCTCTGGTGACTTGCAGGGTGTGATGTTACAGGCAGTGTTTACAGCAGATAGTCGGCTTTGTACGACTGGTTGATATTAGATAGAACACACAAAAATCACAAGGGTGGAGGTGTATGGGCCCGGGTCATAAGCTGGTTATGTTACTGACGAGAAGCTGCAGTGTTCACACTTGATTGCTGACTTTTTAAGGAGAATACCTTGAATTATTTTTTACTTTAATCATCTTCATTGTTTGGTATTAATTAGTTAATAGTGGTACATTGTAATTGGTCACACCTGGCCAGTTAATCACCTGCTTTACTGTGGGGATAATGATGTTGGTCATCTTGCTGGTTAAACACGGGCATAAATGCCTTAAAAAGGCTGACTGGAGGTAGGATGGGGTTTTGGAGTGGGTAATCACGTTAGGGTTCTGCGAGAGATGTGCAGTTGTGGTCCCCTGGTTCAATCTGACTTGAACTGCACAGCTGTAAAGCAGAATGAGTTTGTGGATGGGATGTCGGGTTTGATTCTCTGTGCAGGATTGTTTGCCTCGGAAAACTATGAGATGCTGCGTTTTTTGGTAACTAGAACCTTCACTGAACCTGGAGAGGAACCTTCATCTGAAATGAAAGGCAGACCGCCCCCCCTGGCTGTCTCCGCTGGGTGTGTAAACCCAATGTGTCCCACTTTGTGTATGTAGCCAAACTGGGGACTGTTTCAAACTGGGTGCAGATGTCAGTCTGCCACCCTACACAGGCCAGTGTGGGGAACCAACTCACTGATGGACTTCGCCTTTGCCCTTGACCACAGTGTACACCTTGCTTTTACAAGCAAGCCCACGCTTTCTGTGTCAGTAATGTTAGTGTGCCCCTAGAGGTTTTGGTTCCTTTCCTGTTATCTGTCTCTTTCATTTCTTTTGTCTTGTTATTCTGCGTAAATGATGTACAGTAGGAAGGCCTTGCAACACACCCATGTAAAGCACTTTTGGGTGACTTGTGAAAGGTGCTATATAAAATATATCGAAATGAATTTTACGGCAGTACAATGATTGCTGAAGAGGGCTAGGTTCGCCAGTAAGCAGTGACCTCATTATGGTAACAATCGCGTTATATCCCACCCGGCTCCGAGCGATAGCACTATTGATAAACGCCATCTACATCATTGTTGACTCGTGTGTTCTGTGGCACCAATGATCTGTTATATCTGATAAGGTGAGTCGGAGGCAATGGATAGATAAAAATGATCTGCAACAAGTATAAACAGAACACCCACGTCTTACGGTAAGGCTGGATTTCGATCCCAAGGCCAGATCAAAAAGCATAGCTGTCATTAAAAGTTACAACCGTTTTCTGTCTCGTTATTCACAGTGTACAGGCTTCTCCGGAGTTAATCCAAACTGGCAGGAATTATTTTTAGCACTAAGTGGCTCGCGTGTAAAACGGAGAGCAGGGGCATGCACCGAAATGAGCAGAACGTGTTTCTAACTTTGTAGAGCTCCGACGTTTTGTTGTTTTTTTCTTCCCCAAAAATACATCATGGGTTGAACATGTATCATGAACGCTGTCATCCCGCAACTCAAAACCTTAGCGCTGATTGCAACGTCGACCTCTGAGTGGGGGTTTTAAACACGGAGGAACCACATTACCCAGATGCCACTAGATTATTGGCCCCACGCAATTGGCAGACACGCACGTCACCTAGCTCCAAACAGGCTCTCCGATTGGCCGGCGTGGTTCTAACTTCTTAGGCGCAGACACCAAGTCCAAAGTCACTTTATTTTTTACGTGTCCGGCGAGTCTGCGGGTTGGTCGAGGTGCTTTGGACGGCATGGTTTCGTACGGCGTGTGGTGCCACCGGATGCTTTTGGGCGGTCGCGCCGAGGCCGGGGCCCTTTCGGCGGGGCTGTTGCGGCGGCGACGGTACTCGAGCGCTACCCCGCCAGCCCCGGAGCCGAGCGCGGCCGCAGCATCCGTAGCTGCCCCCGATCAGGTAAACGCAGGTGCCTCTCGCTAACTCACCGCACAAAACGACCGTAAGTCGCCGTGCGTACTTTAGGCATGGTCCCCTCCCTTTGCCTGAACTCCGGTTAAAGTGGTATATTGCACCACGCGCTTCAGTTAACCAGTAAATAAGACATGGACTTTTAAAGTGTGTCGTAATTACAAAGCAGGTTTTAACCAGTAGTCATATTCTGCCGAAATATGCATAATGCATGTCATACAGCGATGCGCTAAAACACTCATGTTCCGAATCGGCGCGTTTGCACGGCCGTCCCGGGACTTCGAGCTCCCACCTGCACGTTAAGCGGGGTATGTGTGTATACTGGCACGCCTGGTGCACGTCTGATCGGGCGCAAAACTTAAGTAGTGGTATTAAACAGGCTTAAAGAGTAATCTCTGTCTCATGGGAGTGATACGTGATTCGGTTTAGGTGTTTCACTGCGTGTTAAACAGGGGTAAACCCTCTCGGTGTCACCTAATGCGTAATTTGCAGGTCTACGTATTAAAAATAGCTGTGATACAGTGTACCTTCAGGCACAATGACCTGTTTTATTTTTCCTGGACTTCAGCATTTGGGCCCTGCTTATGAGGTGAATTTCTGTTAATCTTCCGGAGCTGTGAGTGTCAGGCTCTGGGCCCTGATTTATTGAGATTTATGGAGACTGCCTTTAAGGGTAAATGAATCATAGGGGATCAGCTCACTAGTAGGCAGAAACTTTGCTTCCTGACTCCTGATCTCCTTGTGTCTTATGCTGACTCAGTCATTCCTAAATGGGCTGATCATTTGGAAGTGACAGAATGCAGGATCAGGGCTCTTAATGTACGTTAAATTATTGTTTTAGGTATATGATGTAGTTGATCGGTTATTGGAGTAGGAGTGTGTGACAGAGAGACAGAGTGCAATGCATATTCTGTTAACCAGCTTGTAAGCTACAATCTTCTGAGTTTGTATTATAAATATCTCTCTAGGTATTAATTTTTTGAAATATGGGGGGTGGGGTGTCCATTGTAACATTGAGTGAGGCCCTAGAAATAAGAAACCTGTGTCTGTCTGTCTGCCTGTCTCTGAGTATATCTCTGTGTCTGTCTGTCTCTGAGTATATCAAAGTGTCTGTCTCTGAGTATATCTCTGTGTCTGTGTCTCTCTGGGTATATCTCTGTGCCTGTGTCTCTCTGGGTATATCTCTGTGCCTGTGTCTCTCTGGGTATATCTCTGTGCCTGTGTCTCTCTGGGTATATCTCTGTGCCTGGGTCT